GAGGTAGCCGCCGGTTTTTTAAAAAAACCGATCGATTTTATTTCATAAACCCTAGATTCGTTTTTTTAGATTAGATCGGTTCGGTTTTTCCCGGTTTAGTTAAATAGCGGACGTTCAAGCGCCTAGATCTTTGTCTCAAAGCCCTCTTTCTGTTTAACCAACTTGAACAAGATTTTGGTACTGTAAAATTTGACTTTAGTCTAGATTAGTAAATGGATCTTGTTTCTTTCGTAGTTTGAGTTTCGTTGCTCCGTTTGATTTGATTCTTTTTGCAAACCGGAGTTCTTAAGATGAATTTTCTGGTTAGATCTCTTATTTGAGTTTTACCCGTGCTTCTTGTTTGAGTGCTTATGTATGTTATTGTTTGTTTGCGATAGAGTACCCAGAGTGCGAAGCGTGCTACTACGAGTCTCTAGGTTTTGCGGATCATCAGCAAGGCAAGTAACACTTTGTTCATACCGCTTTACTACCCAATTTTTATTGCATTAGATCACCCCTCAAACGTTGCATGGTTAGGATCTGGATAACATGCGGGTTTTGGGAAGTAGATTGAGGTAGAACCTATTGCCTGTTTATTATCAAACCTTTGAGAGTTACTTCTACGTAATGCTTATATTACTATGCTATGCTTGTAGACGTAGTTTGGGTGAGTGTATACATGACAGATGTGAGTATTGTTAATTAATGGTTAACTTAAGGTGGCTACTGAAATGCACATCTGGGTGGATTGCTTGAGGCACCCTGGAGTCCCCAGTGGTTGTTAGGGCACTTGGAGAATCCAACGTTGTCCTAGGATATCCCGGAGTACCCGTGTGATCATCCTACGGTCCGCCACCCAGGCTCAAAGGGATCATAAGATTATTAATGCTAGAAACTTCCGTGTGCAGCCACAAGCTATTATCGGCTCTAGCATAGTTGAGTATGTTGCATGACCTCTTTCAGTGGTGGGCTAGCAGATATAGCAGAAAGTAGGTGTAACTGTCCATCCAGAGTAAAGAGTTATTATTTCAGAAAGACTGTATCTCAAATCTTCGACCATGGATGTATTTGAGTCTTGTGGGGAAAAGTGCGCAAACCTCTGCAAAGTGTATAAACTAATCATGGTTAACCGTGTCCCCGGTTATGGACGTTTTGAGTATCTGGTTCTTAGATTACCATGTTGATCTCATCACTCTAAATTTAATTTGATTGGGTTAATGATGATGTTTAATTGGGATTGAGTTGGAGGAACCTTCTCAATGTTTAACAACCACCATGATAGTTAAATAAAATTTATTCCTTTGTTGTAGGATAAAATTGGCTTTATGCAAAACTGTAATCATAGAGCTTTCCACCAGCCATATATGCATGTAGTGATAGCATTCATTCTGTCATTACTCTATGTGTTATATTGCCAGCATATTTCATGTGCTAACCTGTTCCGGGCTGCAACATTTCATGTTGCAGACTTTTCAGACGATGAGTAAGGTGCCATAGGTCGTTGTCTTTCACTCAGCTATGTCGTTGGAGTTGATGGACTCACTTTATCTTCCAAGCCTTCTGCTGTTATCGATTTTAGATGGCCTTAAGCCATATTCTTGTAATAAGTTCTCGTTTGAGACATTCGATGTAATAAGTGTGTGATTGAAACTCTGTTATAAATCCTTGAGTACTGTGCGTGTCAGCATTACCGATCCAGAGATGATACTGATGCACAGAGATCAGACTGTTTGAGGTTTGGTCGCTACAATATTGAAGTTCGTTCAAATTTCGTCAGTTTTGCTTCAATTTTGTCCATGTTTGTGCGCGGTCCGTTTCAAATGGCCTGGACTTATGGTGACTCCGGTTGGATGGCCGGTGCCTCGCCCAGTGTCCACCGACACGTCTGAACATGTCTACAGACATTTGGTGCCGTCTATTTGGCATTCCGCTTGGAGTTGCCCTTATGCGCGTGTGCATGCATTCTTTATAAAACATTTTCTTAATAAAATAAGATACATTTGACATTGTGATGAAGTATTCTAATTTGATTTAGAGAAAAAATGCATAAATACACAACATTTAGCACCAAGGTAAAAAAACACAATTCCATGCGATTTTAAGAAAAAAGAAAACACACCCTATGTGTCAAGTGACTAGAGGGACGGCTCGGTTTGAGCCGAGTCAAGCCTAGCCAAGCTCAACTCTCTGAAAAATATTAAAATAGTTAATGTTTCAAAAATGCTCATTTATAGTATTATTTTTTAGAAAGTACAACAATTCAGTTCATCTTTGTCGGTCAATCTCCACATTAGGTACCGACGCAATAAAATGGGGATATGGATCGATCATTCATTGAACCAGGCCTCATTTATTGTTTTGGTGTGGTTTCAAATGGTTGCGGAGACATTGAATCATATTGAGCTCACATGTGTCTTCCCAGGGACGATATGGAGGACGGTATGCACGGTTATTGGCAAGCCGCAATGGACACCTCAAGTGAACGACTCACTAAATGCTTGGTGCGAGATGAAACCGAAGAGCGTACGAGCCATGATGATCCTGGTACTCTGGGAGCTCTGAAAGCATAGGAATGCCATTATTTTCGACGGAGCTTCACCCTCGCTAGACGGTGTAATACGGACAATTGTAGCGAAAGGAAATGCTTGGCATCAAGCGGGATTGCTCAAAGGGGATTGGAGTGGCATCGTGGCGGAGCTTCAAAGGTGGGAGAGGCGTGAGTAGTCTGTATTAGGACGGGTGGGTGAGAGTGGAGCCATGGCTCTAGGCGTTGTAAATCATTTGTAGACTGGGTTTCTTTACCCCCCCCTTCTATAAAGTATGATATGCACACTCGTGCATATTCGAGATGGTTTCAAATGGTTGTCTAAGTATAATATTTGCACTAGATGCAAAAGTGCTATCGTGAGCTCGAGTGAACAATAAATTCGAAAAGAATAGTAGCAATTTTTTAAAAGAAAACTGTGGATTTGACAAGAAACATTGGTGTTTTTCTACACACATGTAAATTTTCATGATGAAATCACATTCATGCAGGTGTGGAAAAAAACAGTGCTCCAAAATGCTTCCAAAAACACATGTCAATTTTTTTTCCACACCTCCACAAATGTGACTCCATTGTGAAAATTTGCATGCATGTAGAAAAAACGTCAATGTTTCTTGCAAAAGAAAACCAGAATTTTTTAAACTTTTATACTGTTCCTTTGGAATTTATTGTCCGCTTGAGCTCATGTGAGCTCGAGCTCACAAACTCCATGTCGCATTGGATGAAACTAGTAGTCCTTTTTCTTTTGACATCTATATAAACTAGTAATCCTTATAGTTATACGAGGGGGACATTTTCACTCACGCATTCGTTCATTGGTTGCTAGAGAAGACGTACCGCATGACCTACCTAATTAACCAAATAACCAATCCTGTCACGTCTTATTTATGCATTTTACCATGCTGCACTAGCCAGGCTTGCGTTTGTTGTTCGGAATGATTCACCGGAGGCGTGACGACGAACCAGTTCTCTTATTCTTCTTGTTGCTACTAGTCGTGTCATTGTTACTGGTGCTCGACGTCGTCGGAGAATCACCACCGGCAGCGGGAGGAGGAGAGCCGACGGCGGCATGCGGCAGTAGCAGCTACAACTACCTCGGCGCGCTGCTGCGGCTGATGATCCCGTGCAAGGCGGCGGTGGCGCCCTTCAGCCCGGCGCCGCCCACCGACGAGTGCTGCCGGGCGGTGCGCGAGCTGGGGCAGCCCTGCCTCTGCCTGCTCCTCGCCGGCCCGCCCATCTCCGGCGCCGACCGCCGCATGCTCACCCGCCTCCCCTCCATATGCGCCGCCACCACCGACGACGACGACAGCGACCTGCGTCAAGACGTAGGCTCGTGCACTGCAACGTAGCATGTAGCAGCACCAGCAGATCCGGTGCTGCCGCCTTTTCTTTACACTTTTACTACTACAGAGCATGCATGCTTCTTCTCCTTCACTTTGTGACACATAATTCCTACTAGCTACGGAACAAGCAAGCATTGACACGCAACTCCAAAGCTAATCCAACCCAGGCACCACTCCTTTTTGTTACGTCCGCCTCCTGCTTGCTCCACCTTCGTTGCTTTTTATCTGCAATCAGTTAACTAATGTATCATGCTGATGATGCAATTGCGCATTGCAACAAAGAGGCTTGTTTCATGGCGTGCACTAGATACGCATCCAACCTCAGATTACCAGCAGCGAGCTAATAACTGTGTGCTACAGACTTTAACGATTCAACCTCCTTCATTTCAGACAGTAATATATCCTATCCGTCCACAAATATAAAATGTTTTGAATATCTTAATATGGACTACATACAGACTGAAATGAGTGAACAAACACACTAAAACGTGTCAACATGCATCAAATTCATAAAAAGAATAGAAGTTAGAACATCTTATATTTGGATGCGGCCCCCCTGATATGCCGTTAGCCCACCCACATGTGGACCCAGGCCCACACGTCAGTGGCACCACGTCAGGGGGCCATACGTTAGAGGATCCGGCTCCTTATATTTGTGAATGGAGGGAGTAACTAATACGGTGCTGCAATTTATACGATGAAAAATCAAAATTTAGTGCTTACATGATGTAATTCCATACAAAAACAAAATAAGATACGTCCCTCGTGTTTTAGCAAGGCTCTGCCAGTCAGCTTGTAAGATTCCTAGTCCCAAATAGCTTTCTTCCCATCTACACACAAGAAATCTAGCATAGAGTTACCTCACAGCATGACCTTACCCGCAGGCATACCCCAACCACCAGGAAGTCCAAGAATTAAGGGCAGCTGCCAAGCAAGCAAGCATGTGCCAAGTCATTCCAAACTTGCCCCCCTCAACTTCTCTGAGTAGATGTTCAAGCTAATATATAACCAGGCGCCAGCAGCTCCACTTGATCACCCCTCCCTCTTCTTTCCATTCAGTTACATCATCGGTTGCCCCGCACACAGGGACTCCTTGACTGCCTAACGTCATAGTCACCATCCTGGCCTGTATATAAAGGTCACATACATCTCCATCAGAAGCCGGTCTGTTCATATGGATCCCAAGGTCGCTGTTGCTCTCACCCTGTCTCTCGTAGGTGGCTTAAGCACCTCCCTCGGTACGCTTACATGCATCTTCCTTCAGCCCTTCACTCCTGCTGTCTCTTCATACTATTATCATGTACTCCCTCCGTTCATAAATATAAGTCTTTTTAGAGATTCCAGCATGGACTACATACGGAGCAAAATGAGTGAATCTACACTCTAAAATATGTCTATATACATCCATATGTAGTCCATGTTGGAATCTCTAAAAAGACTTATATTTAGGAACGGAGGGAGTAGTATTCATCATTGGCATCAAGTGTTTCATTTGATGCATGCATTGCCTTTGCAATTGTTTCCCTTTAAAAGCTGTAACTGGTAGTGTGGGTTTTCCATTTAGTTGCTCCAATCAAGATTCATTTCTCACAGTACATCTTAAGCACGAAATTGTACAAGGTCCATGGGGGCATCCATAAATATCCTGTGAGAATGTTATGTGGGCCGTTAGTATGGTAGTTTGTTCAAAGTGAAACATAATATTGAGCAATTAATCTTTTCAGTTTATACTTGGCATCTAACAGCTGAGAGAAAATAGACTGCTACTGTTACACCAAGAATGGGAAGAATTTGTGTACACATTATTTTCGATGAAGCACACATGAGCATGAGGATTACACGTCCTTACCTGTTAGTTCAGCACACCCGCTTCCACGGCAGAATCCACTCGCTCATCGCCCAAATTTGTATCCCCCTACATCTCTGCACTGTGTCCGACTCACCCTACCCATCCTCGACACCAACTAGCCTTTTAGTGTAGGTTTAAGTTTTCTGGAAAGACGCTCCAGCTTTTAAAACTGACAAGTGTTTAGTTAGTAAGCCTTTAAGTGTTAAGTTCGTAAGCAACCCAATATGATATAACCAGGATCTAACGTGAATAGAGGGCCCATAAGCTGATGCTTTATAGATACTATTATTGCTATCACTCAAGTGACAGCCAAAAGCAATTTTATTTCTCAATGGGAGCTTTCCCATAATCTATTTGGAAAGCGTTGGAATGATATAGACTAGGCAGAGATCAAATGCAAGATGGTGTACCTCTTGATAGCTAGCATTTGCCTACTACTTTTGCCAATGATACTTTATTGCTACTCATCAGGTGCACTACTGGCAATACTAAATCATGCACCAAACAACAGAACACTCGGGATACTACAGGTGAAATGCTACAACAATTTCCTCAACTCTGCCATAAGGTCACATTGAAAGAACAACATAGGTTTATTTGTACACAAATCAACATTTAATAATCGTTTGACAACTTCTTTATAGGGATTTGCTACTGGGCTCATGTTGAGCATGTCCTTCTTTGACCTGGCCTATGATGCTGTTAATGCAATTGGTTTTCTGAAAGGCAACCTTTGGGTGAGCTTTTTAAGCAAGATGTTTTGCAAAGCATTTGTACCATTTCTTACCTTTTTCATCCTTGCTTTGCAGTTTTTTGCTGGAGCACTTCTATTTTCAGCAATTGCCGATATTTTCCCTGAGCCAGAATGCAGCCCGCCGGATGAAAATGACAAAGAAGTATAAATTCCCTCAACTTTGCTAACAGCCTTTTTCAATCGGCATTTATCAAAAAAGTAACATAGGATTATCCATTATGTTTTTCATTTGGGGAAGAAGACTGTTAACAGTACAGCACGGAAGGAACTTATGATGAGACACCGAAGAAGAGTCATCTTTAGTGTAATTGTCACCGCAGTTGGTAAGTCCTATGTACTTGCAAAACTTGTAACATATAGTACCAAAAATGCATCACAGTGTTTTCAACAACATGAGCCCGGAAAGACAAAACATGCCCTTTAATAATTTATACAGAAATCCAATTTTTGGTGATAGGTGTTCTTTCAGATGATTTTCTTATATAATTATACCTAACATTTTAGTACCGAGCTTGAGCATATTGACACCAAATAAATGTATGGGGCTTGTTCATACAAGACAGTGTACAGAAATATTAGATTAATTACTCAAATTGAACACCTAAATACAGTTCAAGATCATGGACATGATTTAACAAGTGATACTGGCAGTAAAAGTAGTTATGACCAAAAAATAGTTATATTTCAACAGCGCCTGTTGAACACCTAAAACTAATTCTATCTTGGCAAGTGATAGCAGCAGTAGTTTTCCATAAAGTACGCATGTCAGAAAAAATAAATCACGCACATGAAAATACAAAGTTATCAAAATTAGGTAGGGCGATATATGCATATACACGTAACGATATGCCCCTTTCCTACAAGTTTATTATTTTCCATGATCGCATTGATGAACGAAGTTCTCATGTCAACAGTTGCTGGTGTGAGTTTGCAAAACTTCCCGGTGGGTACTGCAGCGTTTCTCGGAACCGCAAAGGTATATATTTGAGAAAATACAGTATATTATAGGCAAGCATACAAAATTTGACAAAAACAGTAAATTGCTTTTGTATATGTATCCTTCGCCATTGAATTAATTTTTATGATAAATTTCAATTATATTATTGACAGGTAGTTGAATATATATATATATATATATATATATATATATATATTATTGACTGGTATTATTTCTATTAATTTATATACCTGATAAATCATATGGAAGTACTGAACACTCCATACAACAAAATCTACGGGTCATGTGTCTACAGATGTTACATCTCCGTTCGTGCATGTTATAGTAGAATAGCAGTTTTGCTGTTATTCTGGACACATGTTTATTTTAGCCCATAACACTGTTAACATATCGAATAAGTATGAACAAGACACTGAGTTAACATATCGAAGAGTAGTAATATTTGTTGTATATCCTACTAATCTTATCTACCTTTCAGGGATTTCGTGTTGGCCTTAACTTGGTTATTGCTATAGCTCTACACTACATCCCGGAGGTAACTGAATCTATAATGGCTTTTAGATGGAATAGGGAATGGGTATGGAACAGAAAATGTCATCTAAGTATCTACAATGACTTAAACTATACCCCTTTTGGCGGAAACTGAAAGTGGAACTTCCATTCTCAATCTCAATCAGTCACCAACATACAAAATTGGGACTAGATACTCCCTACCTTTTCACGGTGCAAGTGCATAGCAGATATGCCATTTAAGATACATAATAATACAATACAATAGTGTGGTGAATTTTACACAACTGACTCTTATGAAAAATTGGTATATTTCTCATGACATAGCTAAGTTTACAAGATCAAAGAATCTGCTAATACTTGTAGGAATTTTCTGTTCATGTGCAGGGTATTGCTGTAGCTCTCCCTGCATATTTTGCCACTTGCAGGTACTAGCTAAAATATTGTGCAATATGCATCATATATTTTACGCTCTCTCACCTTCACTATTAACTGTCCCTGGCCTGAGAAGTCTCAACTTCGAAATAACTATCCATCGAGGGGTCAATAGGTTAATGCAATACTCCATTCTACCCCTACTTAGCATGCTCTGGAAGAGTTAAGTGCTTGCAGTATCTCATTTAATAGGGGTATGCATGGTCATTCCTCATCACTTATTAGATATAGTGCTTTCTTGGTCTATGCGAATTCCGGGTTGAGGAGACTTGCAGCTAAACAAGGAAGTACATATTTTAATATGACAGTATTGAATTACATGTAGGAGTATTTTATACAAAATCTCGTCTTAATGATCAGAAAATAGTCACAGCTTAGTTGGTTTAATTCAGAAGGCTAGTTCCCTCAAAAAAAAAAATCAGAAGGCTAGTCGAACTAGTTATTACCTGAAGAAGCATATAATTTGTTGTATAATAAAAAAGAAGCGTATAATTGCTAAA